GGGGCTTCCGAGTCATCACAGGTACAGCTATGAAAGCTTCATCATGGCATCTACGACTCACCGCTCGCCTCGAGAAAACTCCATATAATTTCCTCAGGGACGACAGGAAGCGGTGTTGGCGGAGATGCTACGCTTGCAACAGCACCTGGCGGAGTCAGAGGACAGGTCGGCTGAGCTCGAGAAGCAGGTCAGTTGGTTGCGACCATTTGGAATGGAACGGTTGCGTTTCTCCCAGGTTTTCGAACTCGAGAACCTTATCGATGCGGAGAGGCAGAGGGGCGCCGAGGAGAGGGACCGTTATGAAACGAACGTTCGGGCAGACGAGGAGATGAATGAACGTCTGAGAGAAGAACTTGAGCGCCAGAGAAATATGATGATGTAGTGCTGTTCGAAGTGTGTGGAGAATCTCCGATGCCTGTCTCGCTTTTACAGGCAGCTTGAAGAGGCAACAGGGCATAACTCTGATGCTGCATCGTACGAGTTGCAGGAGAATATCCGGGAGAAAGACAGGACCATCAAAGTCATCTTTCTGGAGTACACTTATAATCACTAGAGGATTAGGCTCTCGAAACGGCATTGTCGAGCTCGAGAGAAGACTTGAAGCAATTAGAAGCTCGAGTTGGGGATCTAATGGGTATGGTGAAGGAGGAGAGGAAGGAGGCAGATAGAAGGGCTGCTGAGGTACTCGAGAAAGGACGTATTCAGACAGTCTGCGTATGCCTCCTCGAACATCTCCTGAATCTAGCCGGTTGAGGTAGATGGACCTTTGATGAGACCAAGGGGTGATTTGTATTGAGGTTTAGCCTCGGTAGCACCAACTTGTCTGTCGTCCTGTATTTTCTATTCTGCTTGAAGTGTACCAGCTTGAGATGCCTTGGAGAAGGCCCTCCGTTCCTCAGAAGTTCAGCGCGGACATACGCAACGTACGGAGGAATTCGGAGAATACAATAGCTGTGTTACGGTCGAAGATTGAGAAGATGCAAGCAGCTCATAAGGAAGAACTGGAGGCTGCCGATGCCAAGATGAAAACAGTGAAAGCAGAAAATTCAAAGTTAATGACGAGGTAACTGGGAAGGTACTCGCATTGAAGTTGCTCGATGGGGGATAGACTATATGAGGCACGATTCATGGAGGAATGCTTCTCGAGGCGTGAACTGCTATGTGGCATTATATATTCAGTCTAATTCGAGCTGCTATGCAGACGTATGTCTTGAGGATACTCGTTGGTTAATGGAAGATGAAAAGCTCTTGAAATGTCGTCAATCTATTACAATTGTTGCTGAAAGTTGATTTTTGAGCTCTCAAGATTGGAGACATCATGAACGCTCGTTCACTCTCTGAGAATGGAAGTATCTTGAAATGGCATTTGTAGAGACAATCGGTAATGTACTTACTGTCGACGCGCACTTATCTCACTGATATCGATGTTTGTGATTGCAGACTGAATAAAGAGAAGCTATCATCCGAATCAACTAAGTGCGAATTAGCAAGCCTTTGCAACCGGGTAGAGGCTCAGAACACCAGGTTAGTCAAGGCACAGGAAAGTCTAGTGGAAGAAAGACAGCGCAATAAGGAGTTGAACAGGAGACTGGTGAGAGATGGGGGTATGGTCACATCCTAGACTCCCTCGCTTACTACTTGTGAGTTTGCGGTACCTCGTGGTAGTGCGAGAGAGTAACAGGAGATTTATAGTGAACATTGTTCACATAACGAGATGGAATATTTGTTGATATTATAGAGGTAGTCTGAGCACGTCGAAGTTTTGAGATGGAGTGGTCTATACTTATGACACTTGGTGAGTGTTGGTGTCGAAATTGGTTATCTGCAAACTATGGCGAATTCTAATGATTCTGCTAGAGGAACGTCTTTCTGTATTTCATCGGGTTATCGGGATGGAGACGGCTGTCTTGATCCAGGCTGAGATGGAGCGGGCATCAACACGTAGACTAGCATCAGCAGAGGTGGCCTCGAGGACTCTAGATCAGCGTTTGAGGGAACTGGGTGAGAGGAGAGCATCTTTGGCGAGTGCCGAGATGCTTAGTGAGGAGGTGGAGAATCTGAGGTTAAAGTGAGTCATTATCACATTCTGGCTCTACTATATGTAATCAGAGTATGTACTCACTCGTATTCGTTGAGATTAGAGTATATTTTCGTGAGTTCCAGCTTACCCGGGAATAGCATTATGCAAGTGTGTCTTCCCGTTACATTACCAACGACATGGTCAAGTGCGCTGTCGCTGGTTTATCGTGATACACGTTTATCCTTGGTTCCGATCCGTACCTCGTTTTTGTCGATATCGTATTATCCGATCGCGTCCAGTGGTGACTCTCTCTTCACTGAGTCTGTCAGAGCGACACGATTGGAGGAGGCTCTCCAATTCACACGAAGTGAGCTGCACAGAGAACGGCAAAATTCGGCCGATAGCGTTCAGAGGTTACAAAGGCAATTGAGAATCTTAGCCGCTCACCAGAGTGAAGATTTGGTATGCTTGTTAAGATTCGTTCCCTGGCCCGCACCTTGCCTTACAGGTTAGCAGCCCTAAGCTATTGGAGTGGGAGCCACAACCGTCAGATCGGACGGGTGCATCTACTGAAGGCTCCTTGAACATGCCTATTGACGAGCTAATTAGCCCTGATATAAAATAGTATCCTCTCATTCCTGTTTGTCGAGTTGCTGAGGTACAGAGTTACACTGAGAGGTGGTGAACCTTTGAAGCAACTATCTATTTTCCCGGTAAGGGTGTGTTCGACTTGTGGAAATACTTACCGTCTGAATGTCTGAACGCAATCGCAAAGGAAACTTTAAGAGTGCCGGCTCACACATTGAACCATTGTTTATAAGAAAACAGGGATTGGGTGGGCAAGAATCTCGTGTAAAAAGTATTGGTAAAGCCCTCCAACGCTTGTCAATGGCGACACGAAAAGAATCTCCGGAGGCTAGGATGGAGGTCATGGTGAACTGCGATTCTCGACAAGGTCATGCCACCAATGACAGTAGAGGACGCGATGAAGAGACGTGATGATGTTATTGTTGCCCAACCTTGAATACAGTTGAGGTAACCTCAACCTCAACGAGGTTGAGACGGTTGATGTCATGAATCTCGCGGCTGCATGTTATGGAAATAGTCAGAGTAAGTAATTTGTAATTTTGTCTTTCGAGGGAACACTAACCCCTTGGTACACCGATGAAGATCGAGTTGTCGTGAGATTTCTCGATGCAATCACTCGAGTAAGGATATTGCCGAGAACTCCGTCGAGTAAGTGTACTCTTAGAACGCGACACTGAATGGTTCCAACAGCAGTTCAGGAGGGTTTACGCATCATGAGATCAACCAAATGGTGGTATTCAAGCTGTTCATCGGACGTGATCGTTACTCCAGCTAAGAAATCGTCGAACTCTTTTGCACTAAATCTGAACCACAACAGTGTTGAACGACAACTCTGATGTAAAAAATACCCGTCAAACTACAAAGTGTAAAAGGTAGTTCAAGGGCATCAATTACGAGGCGCACAACAAGTGAAGACACGAGAAACGTCGTCGGAGGCCTACGGTGCATCGCCAGCCGAGCAGAGCTTTTCTCGTAGTTCTCGAACGGATAGGTAACCATTGCCGTCTCGGTCGAAGAGCTGAGTGCAATACCACTGCTAACCAGCGTTGTAGAGTAACTCACTTGAAAGGCTTTCAAAAGGTCCTTGCCCAGACCTGTGCAGTGGGTGCGTCGAGTCATGACCTATAGGGTGGTTTCCAACGTTTTTTTATCAGAGGTTGATCACCTCGAGGAATTCGTCAATGTTGATACCCTTTCTGTTGGTAAGGTCGTAGTCGTCCATAATTTGCTTCAATTCGTCCTCTGTTGGTGAAAGGCCAAGAGCTCGCATGAGCACGCCTATTTCGTACGGATTGAGCACACCTGTAAAGAGATTCTTGAAGATTGTTGAAAGTTCAGCTTGTTACCTCGATTCTCTCTGTCGATGAGTTTGAAAACCCTACGATATTCATCTATGGCTTCTTGGGGGAGATCGATGTCAGTCGAAGGCTTCATTGAATGATACTTTTTCCTACTCAGTCCGATCAGTTCGAACCTACTCCCCTCCCTCAGTTCAAGGTTGATAGAGATCCTATCATCGTACCGATTCACGATGCTACAGCGGAACACAAGCTGATTGTGGAATCCTCAACCACTATTCGGGCGCGCGCTTTTTACCATTAACTAGCAGAGATCGATCAGGCGATCGATAAGGTAGTGAGATTCGCCTGTCCAACCTTCTTCAGACCTCTAACCTGGTTGTTTAATCATGGGTCGCCGTCCAGCTCGTTGTTATCGCTATTGCAAGAACAAGCCCTACCCCAAGAGTAGGTTCTGCAGGGGTGTGCCTGATCCTAAGATCAGGATCTACGATGTTGGCTACAAGAACGCCTCCGTAGATGAGTTCCCCGCTGCCGTTCACATGGTTTCTGATGAGTACGAACAGGTAACACTGTGCTCATCTTTCTTATCGGTGGTTATCGCTCCACTTTAGGTCTCGTCTGAGGCTTTGGAAGCTGCCCGTGTCGCCGCCAACCGTTACATGTTGCGTTGGGCTGGTAAGGAAGGCTTCCACATGAGGATCCGTGTACATCCTTATCACGTCCTCCGTATCAACAAAATGCTTTCCTGTGCTGGTGCTGATAG